GTAGGAGTTAAGTGGTCTCACATTTCTTATAGTAGTGTGGTTCTACTAGATCTATTGCTACTAAATCTTGTACTTAACTAGAGAATCTAGAATCTACACTAACCAGATCTAGATAACCTATAATATATTACTGCATTTTATCAGATTCGTCTACTTAAACTCTAAACGCAAACAGTATTACTAACAGTATTTTTATTTAGAATTTTCGGGCCACATATTTATATTATCCACGAAACTGTCAATAACAATATAATAAGGATCTTCAATTCCTAAGAGTTCAAGTTTTTTAACGTATTGTTGTTCCTTTTCCGCGGGTGCGGTTCTTTACATACAGTGAACACGTCCAGCGCTGGTGAACAGCTGATTGTGTTTACGTCTGGTGTTCACCACGGTGGCGGCGGGCGTAGGTATCACGTGATTTAGGTCACGTGTTTGCAAGGACTCTTTTGTTTTATCATAATTGTTTTTATGGCCTTACAAACATGATTATTTATAGTTACAGCCATCAGCTATATATGATATTATGTCATTGAACCTCTAATTATCCATAACTTTTCAGTGTAAAAGATATTTGGATTAAAAAGAGTACAAAATGACCATTTTCAATAACTTTTAAAATCCAATTTTTTAGTTGCTTAATACTCTCTACTTGATAATATTTTTGTTATATCGAACACTCACTCACTTGAAAAAATTAATTATCATGATTTCAGCCTATTACTCTTTTATCAAACGTTCATTGCAATTTATATTTTATGTCTTCAGGTTGCTCACATGAGTATCAAATTTTAGGATTATATAGGGGTTGGGATGACAAAACAAGATGCATGACTTTTACACCTCTAGGAGAAACATTAACTGAACAAGATTTAAGGGTTAGTAAAGTGGATAGAAAATGGGCTTTTAATTTAATCTTAATATTAACCGCATCTCTATTAGAAGTCCGAGTACTAAATAAATAATTTTATTTTAATTTTAGGGTAGTTTGTCAGGCATTGGGATGGTGTAGTTGGAAAGTTAAGCTTACAAATGGTAACTCAAAAGTATCAGGATGTCTACATTTTTAACTTTTTGCAATTTATATTAATTTATTATTGCAGCTATTTAACAAACATAAACTTTTTAAATCAAGCTACACTGAAAAACCAAGAACCTGCAGAAATTTAACCAACCAAATTTTTAGATATTTTGTTTGCTGTTTTCAAATCTAACCTTGCCCCTCAAATAAACACAACAATCATACATATCACCAATATAACCGATTAAATCAACTTCTAACATGAAGACAATTATATAATATAGTGGAGTTCACAATTGTTTGTAATCAGGTTGTAGACATGATTAAAACAAAATGGACCATATTTTTAATGCATGTTATTCAGACACTACTCTGCCTTAAAAAAAAACTGGTGTTTGTGAAGTTTGAAATCTTATTAAGTGCCCAACAATTTTTAGGGGAGAAAAGAGGTATATTTTAAAGCCATTGATACGACTACTCTTTTTTTTCTTTGGACCTCAGCTTAAATAGCTTTATTGTGGCATAGCATCTAAAAACAATTAACTATTTTCTTATTTTAAACTTTTTTTTTTAGAAAGTGTTTCCTGATGATGCTCTGTGTGCTCACATACAGATGGGTGTAACATTACAAAAACTCAATCTTACATTTGAACAAGTAGTTCTACTTAAAGCTATTGTTTGCACAGCACCTGGTAATGATTGTATATTTTACCGTACCAAAATAAAAATATATTTTGGTAGTAATTAGTGTACATAGCTATGCATCATCATGTAAGGAATGGTAAAATTATTATGTACTATCTTCAACTGATTAATAAAGAAGTATAATCCACCATCCCCCCTACCCACCACAAAGTACAATTGGTACTGAAGAGACAAATTAATATGGAAGATCACTGAAGTGAAATATGTGCTGGATGAGAAATCAAATAAAAAAGTGGCAATAAATATTAATTAAGCTGTGACTGATTATTCCACAAAACTGGAATGGCCAAATGTGCCTGCTACATGATAAGAGTGTAAATCATGACCTTTGATATTATAGATTTTAGTCAAGTAGTTTAATTTTAACTAAAAAAAGTAATACCAAAAAGAATTATTCTGCATTTCAATTTCAGATTCTTCTGCTTGAATGTTGTTAAGTGATCATTATTTCTCCTAACAGATCGTGATGAGTTGGAACAAAGGGATGCTGTAGCTACTATTAACTGGAAACTGGTTAACTGCTTACTTCTTCTTCTGTGGCGGCAAAATAAAAATCCTCTTCAAAAGTTTGGTCAAATTATGTCAGTATTGACTGAAATGAGGAAATATAGTGTTCTTATTCGAGCATCTTATACCAATGTAAGATCAGATGTTGAAGAACTTACAGAGAAAGTTAATATACCATTTATTTATGAACTGTTCTTTTGATTATTTTAAAAATCAAATAAACTTAATTTAATTAGTGAGAATGGCAATGAACTTTTCTCACTTTAAATTTTAATAAAAAATCGAAATTCTAAATAATGTTAAACTGAGTTCTAAAAAATTTCGTAAAGTACCCATTTAGTAGTTGAAAATAAATACAAAAAAGCATTCATGGACATTATTATTCAGTTATTATTTTAGGAAAGTGGTTAGTTGTTAATCAATACTGAAGGAAGAAGACAATCTTTTGTCATACATAAATTAAAGAGATCATAATAAGTATCACTCTTAAAATCTCATTACAATACTTCCATCTAATGGAATCTTCAGGCATGATTTGTACAATAAAACAGGTCTTGAATAATTAAAAAACCTGAATAAAAATCTAAAAATCTTATTGAAAAACTAATATCTATTTTAGAGTCAGCATACATATTTTGGGAAAGAGAATGTGTACATTTGTAACAGTTTCTTCAAAAGTGAAAAATCTTTAATGGTTTTGTAAATAAAAAAGAACTTTTAAATGAAAAATAATATTCATTATTAAATATTTTGAGACTAAATACAATTTATATATTTTTAGTTAAAATTGTGATTCCCATAATTATATCATATTTGACAAGAATTGTAATGTTTCATTCGTTATTTTTTTATCCCAAACTTTGAAAAAAATAAAAGCCACAGGCACTATTTCTGCATTTGAATAGAATTTAATAGTATTAAAATGTACAATCAGTCACCTATACAAACATTATCATCTTTTTGCATGTAGCTGTACAAATTCTTTTACTTTGATCTTGAATGACTCCTGTATTTAAAAAGAAAAGCTATTAAAACAAGTAATTGTGATGTAAAATGCTAAGCAGCAGGAGCGGAACTACCATGCCATTAGACCCGACAATGTGGGAAAGGGGTGGCAAACTGATAAAAAAAAACATCTCTTTTCTTAAATTCCAAATATTTTATTCCATACACCTTAATGGTGGTTTGTATTTAAAAAAAAACCGATTACTGCGCTACACAAAAAACACAACATGACCTGTAGTGTGAAAGATAAGCAAATGCTCATACTTTGTATGACTTAAAATACTCCAATGGGGCAGTTGGTAGTGGCCATAAAGCTGATTCAAATAACTGAATTACAAACTTAAATAGCCAAATAGGGAGGAGCATAAACTTCTTTGAATAGTCAAACGGAATGCATAACACTCACTAAATTTAATACAGGAGTCCAAAATGCTCAGATAGTCGAATAGGGAACCGACAAAGCTACTTTAAAAAGTCAAACAGGAGGGTCCATATCTCAATTAAAAAATTGAATAGGGGGATCCATGGGAGGGGAAGGGCTTTTTCTAGTTCCGCCACTGCTAAGCAGCCAAGTTTACATTACTAGATCAAGAAAAGCTAATGTGTTTACTTATAACAATGAGCTAAAATAAAATCAGTTAAATAATACCTTGTCTTTAGCATAATGTTCAGCTGCTTCCACATTCAGAGGATCATCAAAATTTAATAAATCCTGTGGGAACATAAAATTACATTAACTATTTTTACCATTTGTTAAATTGTATAGGTATTATTTGTTAACTGAAAAATGTATTCAAAGAATTCATGAAAAAAAATAAAAGAACTATCTTCATTACTATAATCACTATTAGCCATCTAATTATTGCTTATTTCTTAGTAAACTATGCAGTAATCATTTTCTGTTTTGTTTTCAAAAACCAAATTGATATAGCATATCTGGATAGGCCTATTCCCTATCACTTGAAAGTCTGGAAATTTAGTGCATGGGAACAACAGGTACAATGTATATTTTTTTTAAAAAAGAAATTATTTCACAAATGTTATTTGTTTTGAATGTATTAAAAACACAATTCATGTGTATGTGTCTCATTTTTTGTACTGTTGTAATTTTATTGAACAAATATTAAAATAATTTTTATTTGAAGTATTGATAAAAAAAAAAAAACAAAGATTCAAATAAATCAACCAAAGGGGTTGAGACAAGACATAATATAATAAGATTGACATATTTTTCATAAAATTTAATTTTCTTGAAAAGCGGTTACAGGAAAAGCATACATTATAAAGAAAATCCCCATAGTGCCTACTAAAATTTTAAAAATAAACACATACTGTAAATAAAGAATTCAGACCCCATATAACATCTTTAAGCTTTCGAGTAGGTGCCCAACCTGAAAACAAAAAGACTTGCTTTTAGAATCTTGCAGTTATTTTCTATACAATTAGCTTGCGATGTAAAAAACTGAATTTTTGTCTCTTTAAGTGAGGCCACGTCTACTCGAAATAATCTAGAGATTTGTCAGTGGTCACAGTAAAGCAAAAACTGTAGTCGTTTAAATAAATGAAGTGAGGTAGAATTAGAAAAATGTTTCCAATAAATAGACAGAGCAAAAGTACTAGATGTGGTGAAGAGTGAGTCAGTGAGGGGTTGTTTATGAAATTTCTGCACACATAAAGGTGAGGGAGGGAGGTCCAAAGATAAATTGTTCTAGGTACTTGGGAACTGTGATAAAATAGTGATTAGCAGTGTTGTGATGCGAGTTTGGGGAAAGGGTCAACGCTTGAAGGATAATGTGGATACACAGACAATGAGAATATAATCTGAGCCACTGAACAGGAACTACTAGTTGTAATCCAGGGTTTATTGCACTATTTATAAAGACACGGACGACAGCTTTCACAACTTAAACAGATACTTGACTTCATTTACAAAGACAGGCGAATACCTTAACAATCTAAAGCAAAATGACAAAAACTGATCTAAACTATTTCCCCATGCAACATCTGATATATTGGACAAACGGGGAAACTATTGTCTGACAGGGTCAACCAACACCTACGATCAATAAACAATGAAGATGGTCTTCCTATGCCCAAACACTTTAATAAAGAGTGAACATACCATAAAAATTGACTTTTGTTCGGTTTTGCCATAATTTTAAAAACCCCGTGAACACAGAAACGCAAATTATACTTAAATTTGGCAAACCGGCAATGGATTGTGTAAATGAACAGACATCTTTCACCTGACCCCCCTCCCCCAAACACTACGTCCCCAACCCCACCCATATACAGTGATCAAGCATCCTTTTCCACAAGTCTTTTGGATACTCGCCATCGGTACCCGTTTCACGTGAATTATAGGCCTATATATTTTTAAATGTACTTGTTTGAGAAAAATAATTTATGAAATAGTTATTGCTCAAAACGCAATGTGCTTTACTACACTCTGAACGATATTAGTGACAAAGCAAAAATAAGAACTAATTAGCTAAAAATCAGACACATTTAACATAACACAGGCACACGCTGATTAAGTGACTTAAATGATTTTGTTAAAAATCTGGCTATTCAATAGTCATTACGTTGTTTTTAAGTAATTTGTATTAGTTTGACTGATAAAATTGTATATGTTTCATAGCGCACGTCTTGATGAGTAGATCTATAGATCTAGATCGAACTCAAATTTGAATAAAGTAGTTCCTTTCTTTAGTCTAAAATCGGAAGATTCACATATTAAAAAAAATAAAAAAACTAAGTTTGACTTGGTGGGGTGTGGGGAAATTGCGAGACGCGAAAAGCGAAATGGCGAGGCGGGAAAATGCGAGAAGGGCGCGAAAACGGTCGGTCACGTGACTTTTTGTCTCGCATTTTACCACAAGCCGATACTTACGCTTGGTGGTGTTGAAATGCGAAGATTTCTGCGAAAAATTTACCGCACCCGATTTTCAGTGGTATTTGGTCCAGACTTCAAAGACGTTTCGGTTACATTGTTAAAACTTCCGATTTTTCCGTCGCTAGACATACTGATGATTTGTCAACTCCCTCCATCTTTTGTGTCGACTTAGAATACCACCTTGTTCGAAACCGACGGAAATACCGCCGACGATAGATCAATTTCTGTCTTTTGTGTGGAACGCCGAGGCCGCCTGATTTACCGTCTTTGAAGATCGCCGTGCCCGGATCCGCTGCCGCCGCAAAAATATTTTCTATTGTTGCATAGAAATTTTGTATTATAGCCGCCGCCTACGATTTTTTCTAGCTTTTTTTAACCATATAAATCTAAGCACAAGGAAATGCCTACATCATTTGGATACAACAAAATAAAGTGACGTCACCGATATTATCAGTTGCTCGTGCTATATCGTAAGCTATGGGCCTACTTCAAATATTTTTAAAACCAAGTTGAACTTATCTGAATTTTTTGGTTTTGGTGGTGGTGTTATTTGGGGTCTTCCATAAATGACATCACACTCGTAGGGGGGGGGGGGGGTCTGTAATTTTATGACGATGTGTGATGAGGGGGAGGAGGGGGGGGGGGGGTAGATGTGAAGTCACACTATAAAAAAGCAATGTTAGAAAAAGAATTTTAGACGTTTTTTCGCGTTTTAGAAAACTGTTTTAATACATTGCAATAGGAATTGATTAAAATACTCTATTTTGACCGAAATTAGACAAGATTTTGGGAAAATATCAATGTTTTAAAAAAACTCAACTGCTGGTGACAACAATGAGCAAGACATTGCCAAAATTACAGAAATGAGAAAAAAATACAAATTATAAAAAACGGAAAACAGATGTTGAGCGTGCGGATGATGATGATGAGAACATGGGTGCCAGTGTTTTGTTGGTGGGATGAACGAGGAGGTCAACTGTGATGAGAATGTGAAATGTTGTGAATGTGGATTGGAAGAAGTAGCAAAAGAAAAATGTATAAATGGGAGTCTAATGAACTGGGTTGGGTGTACTATGTGTGAAAGATGGTGTCACGAGGTGTGTTTGATGACTGATTTTGTTTGTAAATTTTGTTTGTAATTAAAATTACTTAATAAAAAAATAAATTGCACTTTTTAGAATTGTTTATACTTTTACACTTTTTGCAAGTACAAAAATCCATAAATAGATGTTGCAAAATATCTCTCCTGCTGACAAGATTATACCAATTCACACGTTTGTATAAACATGAGCGGGCTAGATTTTTAAATTAATGCCGACAGAGACGGGATTTTCCTCTCGCTAACAAGAGCGGGCGATGACAGTAGCACAGCAACGATGTTAGGATTTTTAAATAGATAGATCTAGATATAGATCTATCTATCTTTTTAGTATCTAGATAAAATTAAAAAATAACAACATACAACACTCGTGTTAAAGGGTATGGTTAAATGCTTGTTTATTTTAAAAATATTTAAAAAAATAATTGAAATAAATAAAGATGGAAAAAAAAGGAAAAAACTTTTTTCGCAAAAAGTGTCTCGCTATTTACCCTTAATTCCGCAGGTATGTCTCGCATTACCTTCTCGCATTTTCCCGCCTCGCCATTTCGCTTTTCGCGTCTGGCAATTTCCCCACACCCGACTTGGTGTGTCTCGATCGCGCACCACCTGCGTGGTATTAAGTACACTATCATCACAGCTATTTATACACGTTATAAAACACGAAGAATGAAAGACGTATCTAAAAAAAACTTAACTTACGTGAATATGCCTATTCTTTCAAACTAATTTTTGTAACCCAAATTAGCCAGTTCCATAGTTAAACAAACAAAGATTTCTATAAAACAATTAAGGCCTGAAATAGTTTAAAAGATAATTTCATTTTTGGAATAGATTCTAGAGTACATAGAGTCTAGATCTAGATCTTAGCATCTACGTCTTGTTTTTGAGTAGATTTAGATCTAGTCTAGAATCTAAATCTAGATCTAGAATCCAAATAGATAAAATAAATTTTATAAGTTTAGGCCGGAAAAATTGTAATGTATAGATTTCATAGCGTACGTAGATCTAAATCAAATTTGAATGAAATAGTTCATTTCTTTTTATTCTAAACATGGCAGATGAGGTCATTAGTTAATGTATAAACATTGGTGACGTCACTGTTTTATGCGTTCTTTTTCACAACTATAAACGCTTTTCCTGTTGCATAATTAAAACTGTTTTTCCACATTCGAATGCGTCTTTATTTTTTATTTTTCTTCTTTAAATAAAATTGTAGTTATACATTTAAAACATCTACCATATTATTTTCAACAAAAGTCCGTATCAAGTTCTCCATATATCGCTGAAGATTCTGATGTGATATCCGGCGAAAATATTTTGCGGACAGAGAGAGAGAGAGAAGTGCGCACATGGACTTTTATATTAGGATTGTATATCATTTATACAAGACACAAAATTGTGTTACTGTTTGTCATTTTTGTCTAGTCTGTAACCACCCTGTTATGTGCTGACAAAGACCTTGGGTCGAAACGTCCATAGTACTTGTAACTGTCTTTAACTTGTGAGGTAATTACTAATTATTTTTATTACTAATTGCATTAACTTCACTGCAACTACCATTTGTATTTACCTATTTACCCCCGCAATCAGATCATACTCTCCAAAGTCAAATCCTTTCGTACCTCGTCACAACCAGTTATTAACATAAATCATTCCAAAACACACATACTCTCACACCCTAGCAATACCTAAGATAACGTTCATATCAAGCAGGAACAGGTGTATACAGTTGGGTGTATTTATGGACGCACATAACATGAATAATAAAATATATAGTAGCAGAAATAAAAAACTACCATTCCCATTGTAAAACTTCAAACCTATAGCAATGCTAAAAAAATATTACATGTATGAATATACTACTTAATTTAAAAAAAAAACTTACCCATACTATCATACGAACTTTGACGAAGTAGACTTAGACAAACTTCTCCTACTTCAGTAATATTTGGATGATATAATTTTGTATTGCATGTAACTTTAGGGGGCTGTAAAACAATTATACATATTTAAAATTATTTTAAAATGAAAGTTATTTTCAGAGCATTTAAAAGATCCTACAATGAAATAGTCCACTTAATTGAGAATTGACCATTTAAAAATGACGGCTTTCACAGTTCTGCGACCCATATGGAAAAGTTCTGCCATCTCCATTACCACAAAAATTAGGATATTTAACTCAAATGTCAAGGCAGTTCTGCTGTATGTAGCAGAGACATGGAGAGTCTCCAAAGCAAGCACAGCAAAGATACAGACTTTCATGAACAGATGACTTAGACAGATATTGAAATTGAGATGGCAGGACAAAGTGCCGAACATAAAATTATGGAGGAAAGCTAGGCAGGAGCCTATGGGTGTGCAAATAAGAAGGAGGAAGTGGCGCTGGGTGGGTCACACACTGCAAAAGGCTTACCCAAATGTTACACGCCAAGCACTTGAGTGGAACCCCCAGGGAAAGCGGAAGAGAGGGCGCCCAAGACAGACCTGGAGGCGGAGTCTTCTTGAAGAGCTGAAGCCAACAGAGATGTCTTGGGAGATGGCAAAATTAATAGCCGGGGAGCGGAAGAAATGGAAGGAAATGGTGGAGGCCCTATGTTCCATAAGGAGCAAAGAGGATTAAGTCAAAGTAAGTCAATTTAAAAATGAGACGGAAGATCAGTCAATGATTGAAATGAATATTGTATCTGTTTCCGGTTACTACATAAAAAGGAAAATGAAGTTGCATTGAATGGAGAAAAATGTCCATTCAATGTTTGCCACACATTTCACAACTTACTCTTACTTTTTAAATATTCCTTTCATGTATCAATCAATGATGAAAAAAGCTATGCTCATGTAGCTTTTTCTTTTAAAGTAGGCCTTTGTGTTAGGGGTCATCCATCCACGTCTTGCTTTTTTTGACAATTTTTACCTCCCCCCCTCCCGTCTGTCACACATCGTCACAAAAAGCCAGACCCCCACCCCTAAAATGACGTCACACCTCAGCCTATAACCCCCCCCCCCCCTCAAAATGGCAGTTGAATTTTTCTTAAAACATCGATGTTTTCCTAAAATCTTGTCTAAACTCTGTCTATATAGAGAATTTTAATCAATTCCTTTACAATTTATTAAAACAGTTGTCTAAATTTTCTAAAACGCGAAATAACATCTAAAATTCGTTTTCTAACATGGCTTTTTTATAATGCAAAAGTGTGATGTCGCACCATCTGAACCCCCCCCCCCTCCCCCTCATCACACACCGTCACAAAATTACGGACCCCCCCTCCCCTACGAGCGTGACGTCATTTATGGACGACCCCTTAAAAGTAATAGCAATGCTTTGTTCTAAAACTGCTCGTGATTTTCTATGCTTAATTCTTAAAATTTCTTGATCCATGTGTCAAATAATAAATAGGATGAAATACTGAGATTTCCTTGCATTAAATTTGGTCTGGTACTAGCATAGAAAAATTACAGTAAGTATGTATGTGGCTTTGTCCTTTACTACACCTTTCACCTCATTGCCATGAAACTTTGGGGGGGGGGGGGGGAGGGGGGGGGGTTCAATCAGAATACTCATTTTAAAAAATGAAGGCAGAGAGAAATGGTACATGGGATAGCTTTAAAACAGAGGGTGAGTTAAAATACTGGTAGATAAATTAGGCTATAGTTAGACTAACACACATGTGAGATTAACAGTAAAGATAATTTTTCTGTATTTTTCAATAAATATTTAAGTGAACATATCTGCAAAACATTTCTGAAAAAATCTGCTATCTGAAAAATTTGGGAATCCATGAAAGCGTAATACTCCATTTAAAAAAGAACAAGTGGAATGCACACGTCTGCTGTTTTCATAGAAGTAATTTCAGGATTTTTCGAAATAAAATAGGCTTGAGTCTGCAAAAATCGATAATTTGTGGGAAAAATAGAAGAAAATAAAATTAGCTGAGATAAATTGTAGCTGAAATTGAATAACAATAATTATTTCCATAAAAAATTAATTAGAATGATATAATTTGCAATAAATCATGGGTATCATAACATTTTATGAACACCTACCACAATATTGTATTCATCAGGCACAAATACTGAAAAACTGAACCGTCCACCTTGCCAAAAACCAGAATCAGGAGTAACAATGAGAGAAAACTGATGTAAACAGCTAGGGTCATCAAAGGTTACCTGACAAGTTGCAGGCAATGTTTCTTCCATTTCTTGGACTTCTGAAAAGAAGGGACATAAAAAAAATCTGCAGCAATAACAAGTAAAACTAGGTGCAACCACAAAAAGCTAGTCAAGCATTTTATTCAGTAAGAAAATTGCCCCTTTAGTATAATCTTTAGTTGTGCTCATAATGCATGCTGTATTAGTTGAAATGAAGGGGTACTGTTATTCTCAGGACTTTTTAAAAAATAAAGCGGGAATTATCTCCCCTAAACTTTTTCAAATATTCTTAGATAACACTAGATGGCAACTTGGGATATAGACATGATTTTTAATCAATTTTTAAATACTAAATGTTTTAAAAATAGAATAGAATCTTGTAGAAAAAGAAACGTGTGTATACTAGTGCAGAACATTTGCACTTTGAGTAACATATAATGTCGCACTACATTGTCTTCCAGTCTTGACACACGTGAAAAGTTTAAAATAACTTTGTCTGGTAGAAGTGTTCGAAATTGTGTTCATCTTTTTCTGACCATGAAAGAGGAATCAAGTTGAAAATAAATTCATGTTTTTTGAGAAATCAGAAATAGCAAAAAGTACTACTTCCAGTCATGGGAAATTACTCAAAATTTGATGGAAAACAGAGAATTAGATTTTTTTACTTATATGTGAAATTTTGCCTATCTATCAGAAACAGTACTCTATAAGCTTTTGAAAAACCGAAATTAAAATAATTTCCACTTATGGTTACCGAAAAAAATTGCTGAAAAGTTGATACTTAACTACAAACTTGATATAATTCTTAAATATGAAATTTTATCAACCTAGCTGCAACGGTACTCAAATTATCATGTTCACAGACAAGAAAACAGACAAAATAGTAAAACAAAGTTTTACTGACTCATGGAGGTGTAAATTCTCAAGATATGTTAAAATCTTGATTTTGATTTTTTGCATGATCACAATACTTCCTCTATACTTCATATACGAGAAAGTACAAATGTTTTACCATTCATTGAAAATAATGAAAAATTACAGTGAAAATAACTACCACCTACCAATTGTATACAGGTTATTTATACAGAAAACCAAGTAAAATAACTTTTCTTAAAAGTCTTGCAATAAAGTGTGTTCAGAGAATGTGCTGGTATGAAAGTTTAGCTTGCTAATCTTTTTTTTTTAAATATATTTCTATTAAAGTAAATAAACACAGAATATGTTTGTATGATGGTTAAACTGGCTGGTTTTGTTTAATATGTTGGGTAGCATGTCCAAAAACTTGATAACCTTTTTCTCTGTTAAAGGGCCTTTAGATGTGGTATATTTTCATTTGCTGCAAGAAGAGATCTGACATCAAAGTAGTACAAGAAGATACAAGGGACAAATTCAAACTAACCTTTAATGAGAAGCTTGTCTCTGATAGACAAACGCTTTGTACCAAGTTCTGATTGATCTTGATTCTTTTTGGCTTGTTTCATCTTTAAAGTAATCATCTCTTGGATAAAAGAATAAAGCCTCTACTATTTCATATTACATAAGGTATGATTATATTACAGTTGTGAGATTTAAACTGAGAATACCTATTAGATAAGTAGGTTATTGATGCAAATAGTTCTCCTTATTATTATCCCTTTTGGGGAACAACAATCTCTTTGTATTTATGATTACTTTTTAACCCCTTAACGCAGACTGTCCATATAGATTTTGCGCTTAGCATATGTGCATAGGTACATTTATCCTACTGCTGCCGGTCGTTGCATATTGGGTACATCCAGACGATCGTATTGGTACCAATGGTCAAGTTGTCAAGTCAAAATTTATGACGTCACACTCCCTTGACTCAGGCGCCTACTAATATTGATTATTATTATCAAATAGGTGCAACGTTTTTACTACAAAAATACTAATAGCGTTATTATTCACTCTGTTATGTATATAAACAGTATAAATCACACATGAGAAAAATTAGGAAGTTATCTTCTGATTAAGTTTGTCATGTTTTCGCGACATCTGGCAACAAGACATAAAACTATACTTGGGTGCCAAGCAGGTATAGTGAAATTAGATGCCTCGCCAAACTATCATTTCTTCAAGCATGATTATAAATAAGTAAAGGATTTACAAAATACTCTTTGCCTATGTATAAAAGTGCACTTTAGAACGTAACTGTCCAAACGGTAGGTGAAGTAGAGTTCACCTGTTTCATTGACATTGGTATATGGAGAGAGAGCAATGCTGGAATAATGTGATCATGCTGCTGGGTACAGTGTAACAAATTTAACTTTGAAATAGCATCGTAAAATACTAGGAGAACATAAAAAATAGACAACAGTATGTGGAGTGGTGGACCACTATCCTGGATACCACCAAAGAAAGGTCTTCACAGGGACCTTGACAATAATAAAACTGAGCATAGACCTACACCTCGTAATAAAGACAGTAAGTTTGAATACTGACAAAAATACGCAGTTCTATTGAATACCCACATCAGTGGCATTGTACTTGAATTTAGTACAGACAGCAGTGTTATTGGGTACCCACATCTTCAGCAATGAGTACCAATATCTGTGACACTAAGCACCCAAAGATTCAGCATTAAGTACCCACAGCAGTGATACTGAGTACCCATTGCTAAGACTGAGTACCCACAGCAATGTTATGAATTACCAACAGTACACAGCAGTGACACCAGGAATCGACTGCAGTAACACTGAGTACCCACAGCTTCAGCACTCAGTACACATGGCTTCAACACTCATTACCCACTGTTTCAGCAATGAGTACCCATACCAGTAGCAATATGTAGATACAGCACTGTCATTGGTAATCCATAGCAGCATCATTTGAGTACCAAAAATCAGAAAATTGAGTACCATCAACAATAGCAGTGAGTACATACACCAATGGCACTGAGTACCCACAGCAGCTGCATTGAGCATGGAAGACTATACAACGGCCGAACACTGTCATTATTTGACAGTATTTGTTCATGCGTTTTGTGTGTATAGCAAATACTGGTCTAATGAGAAATATGAGTCTTTACTAGTTGACTTTGAATTAGAGTTCATGAAAAGGGCGTAAGCAAGGACAACTTAGGCCATACACATTTAAGGAATTCCTTTCATATGTAATGTGTTACTGTAGTGTAGTAGAACCACAATAGCCATGCTTCAAAATACCCATTTATAAGAGTTAGACAGTGAACAGGTGCAGCAGAGTTATGTAACTCTATGCCTGAGCTACTAAATTATAGTTTTCATGAATTTTACAGGTGAGTCTACATCTCCTTGCGTGTCCATATGATTAGTTTGTGATATTCTATTGTTTGTGCATGGATATTTAGAGAAACGTGTCGGTAAAAAATAGTAACTGACCCGGACACCAATTTTTTTTAAAATTACTGTTTGGTCCATTACTGCAGGATGTTGCGAATTCGCAATATACTGTAATTAGCATAAAAAATAAGTCCAAATTAAAAAAAACAATAATATACCTCAAATTCAGTGTCAGTATGATGAAAGAAAATCAGCACAAATATTTTTTTTACACACTTGGAACAGGCGTTAAGGGGTTAAAACTCAATCCTTGACAATCCAGCTTCCAACCATCTCTCTTCCAAAAGATTTCCTCAATGACATTTTTGGCATCTCACTCTTTCTCTTTACTTGTGAACTTCATTCTACTTGTGTTACTGATTGCCGTTCTCTTATTTTGTACTCTAATGTTACTTGTCTCCATACCTACCATAGGTGTAAATTAAGAAATAGTGTCTGGCCAATGTACTTTCAAAGTGCATCTTAGAGACCTGTTTATTAAGCCCTGAAGCTTATTAGTTGCTGCTTGTTTTACCCTCTGAGACACACAGCAAACAGACTACACATTTGAGCCAAAGATCCAGATTTTTATTGATAATCAATAAAGATTCCAAAGAGATTTGTCTTGATGATTCTAGCCTGCATGCATGCTTGATATGACCTTCATTTGACACTACAATTCCAGGTAAGTTTAATGTGTCTCTTCTTATAGTTTGTTTTACTTTTGTTTTACTGATGTTTATATTTAGACCTGTTTTTGCTGCTTTCTTAGCTAGAACATTTGTTTTGTTCTGCAGTTGCTGTAGACTATATGACTTGAAGCAGAGATCATCAGTGAAATTCAAGTTGGTGTGTCAGTGTTTATTTGATTCTTGTTTTTTTGTGTGTGGTGGTCTGGTTTGAGTTCTTTAAAACACATGATCACTTCCTCTGTAGTAAGTATTTAGCCTAGTTGTTTTTAATTTGTTCTTGTAAAGATTAGCTTAAGATTGTCATAAGTTATATTTCATATAATGATGTTTATTACTTAAATAATTATTCAGAGCAAGTTAGACAATAGTTATCTTTTTCAATAAGAGACTACAATCATTTTCTATAAATAAGGTGGGGACAAAAATGCATCAAATTATATATTCATGATAAAAATCAATGCTAAAATTTAACTAATTGGTTATCTTGGTGAGTCCTTAGTTTAACTAAACTTACCTTTGTCTTCTTTGTAAAGTGTTCTAAAAATGTTTTGAGTTTAGTGAAGTACTCTGTGCATAGATGTCGCCTACGGAATCTAACTGAAATAAAAGCATTGTAATTTTATAGAATTAAATAAAATGCAATTAGAATATATTTTATAAATATAAATGAAAAATCTTTTATGAATTTTATTTATTTAACAGTTTTAGAACCCAATGTGAGTAATAAAGTATAGATAACTAAGAAATTTAAAAAAAAAACAGTTTTGACTGGACCCTAAAATTTGGGGGAAAAATCACAACCTAAATGACAAATCTCAACTTGTGTAAATGCATACAAATTAACAGATATTTAGCAGCAAAATCAGTGTATCTTAACTTCTTAACTTGGATTCAACCGAACCCCAAGGGTTTGTCGAATCAGTCTCTGGGGTTTGGCAGAGGTCAAAAGACACACCAGACTCATATGATTTGCGCTAGGATTTTGTTAGTGCAGATGGCAGAACTAGCAACCAAGAGACAGCATGACATGTGTGATTTGTTATATAATATTTTATTCCCTTCATTTTAATTATGTATGTTGAGCAAAAAAAAAAGGCATCAGAAGAATATGTACAAGATAGATTCACATGTATAACAAAACTTAATGGGGGGGGGGGGGTCAGCATCCAAACTGCATGATTTACAATGTCAAGCTGAGCAATTCTAGTCTAGCATAGGCAAAACTAAGAGAATTCTTCCTTAAGCTGTATAAGTAAAAAAAAGTAAAGTTCCCTTTCAAACCTGATGGTCTATAGGGCAAGTGAAGTAGAGTTCACTTGTTTCTGTGACCTCGGCATATGATGAGATAGTGTGGTCAGCACTATGCCCTGCCGCCTTTACTTTCCCTAACGTAAGTTAGGTACCCATCAGAGTTATTGGACTCAGGGGTGGTCTACTGGCTTGAACCCGGATTTGAACTCGAAACTTACAGGTTAGCAGTCCAGCTCTCTACCGCTAGACCACTTCACCCCCTTAAGCTGTATAATGATGTAAAAAACAATAATACGTTAGCTGAATTTAAGATGAAGAAGCGCATTTTGCATCTCCGAATTGGTGTTTTAAAGACATCAACAGAAGTCACACTGACTTGTAATAAATATGCATTATTTTGTTCTTGATTTTGTGTGAGACTGATCATTAATGATTTTTTCTATGAACAAAAATGGACAGTTTTTTTTGCACACCAGTAAAATGAATACTTGAATTGGAAATCATATTTTTTTCCTAGTAAGAAGGGTTTGGTGAATGCACACATGGAGCTGCTGTGATTCGGTACCTTTAAAAAGGTTCAGAACCATTGAGCTAAACACTTTAGTGAATAAATTAAACTTTTTCATATGGTTATAAATCAATAGTTGCATTTTAGTTTTTCTCGACCTCAAATTTTAACTGCAATGTCAATAGACTGTTCCACTAGCTCTGACTCAACACAAAATTTAAAAGGAGGAGAAAAGGAGCAAGAGTTTCATTAGTGACAACTACTTGCTCATCAGATGAAAAACCATAGTGAAATGACGAGGATAAAATAGTTTTTCAATTGTTACTTACCTTTTAACAGTCCATCTCTTATAATTATTTCTGAAAAAGATTATAGGATATAATTTTACATAATGTAATAGCAAACACAGGATTCTAAAATGCTCAAATGTAGGAGTCAAACACATATAAAACAAGAAAATATGACCCACCACCCTTAAAATGTTAGAGCATTTGACTTTGGTCTGTATGATAAGTTGAAGGTTTAGCATCCAAATGTGGGAAACAGGTTTGAGTTATAGGATAAGGGTTAGGGTAAACATAATGGTCATTTTCCAGTTTCAGTTAAGGATTTGAATCTAGTATAATTAGAGCCTTGTCGTAGCTTGGCAGCTTGTGTATCCTGACCACCCCCAGAGCTATACCAGCGGGAGTATAAACTCCTAGTAGGTTAAACCAAACTGGGAAGATCTGCGCGGGTAGGGATCAGACCAAAGCTAACACCCTGGTCCTCCAGGTTGGGGGTTGAAACATAAGGCTAGCAACCTTATCTCATAAAAAAAAATACCGCTACAGAAACTGCAAGTACACAAATCTAATACCAACTTGGTCGAGGAGGTTCCTCTCTAGAAGAGCCCATGATGCCTACTAGTGAAAGCCTAACGGAAGCTAGTTTGCTGACAAATATCCTAACGCCCAAGACTAAAACCAGATTAGGGACCTGGAACATCAGAACCCTATATGAAAGCAGCAGATCAGCCCAGGTCGCCAAGGAAATGAGGAGGTATAAATTAAAAGTCCTAGGATTAAGTGAGACACGATGGAATGACAGTGGCCAAACTAGGTTGGTCTCTGGACAGACTGTCATCTACTGAGGCCACGAGGACGAAGATCATGAACACGCGCAAGGTGTAGCCATAATGATGTCTCCAGAAGCAACAAATGCTTTGATTGCATGGGAACCAGTCTCGCCACGACTCATAGCAGCTCGTTTCAATGCCAAGGGAAGGAAAACAACTTTAATCCAGTGCTATGCACCCACAAATGCTGCAACAGATAAAGAGAAAGAGGACTTTTACAGCGCCCTGCAAGCTCAAATTGACAAATCACCAAAAAGAGATATAAAGATAGTCATGGGAGACATGAATGCCGAAGTTGGAACAGAAAATAAAGATCATGAGCTCACAATGGGGAAAAATGGAATAGGTGTAATAAATGAAAACGGGGAACTCTTTGCTGATTTCTGTGCATTTAATGATCTAATTATAGGGGGGACAATTTTCTCTCATAAAGATATACATAAGACCACCTGGACTTCACCCAATGGCAAAACAAAGAACCAAATTGATCACATCACAGTTTCCAAAAAGTGGAGAAGAAGTTTAATGGATGTTAGGGCAAAACAAGGTGCAGATGCAGCCTCAGACCACCAACTCGTGGTTGCAAGACTAAAATCAAAATTAAAATCCTACAGGGATTGAGCTGATAAACCGCAGTTTAAATTCAATACAACATATCTTAGGAGTCCAAAAATAAAGGAAGACTTTAACTGCGTAGTAAAAAATAGGTATGAAGCACTCTCCAGCCTGGCAGAAGAAACAATAGAGCAAAAATGGCTAGGAAAACAGGAGCTATAGAAGTCAACATGCACTGTCATATTGGGAAGGAAAAAAAAGAACAAAAAGAATGGATCACAACAGAGACATGGGCCAAAATTGAAGATAGAAAAGAGATAAAGCAAAAGATGAACAAATGTAAGGATGAAAAAGAGAAAATAAACCTCAGAACACATTATTGTGAGTAAATCGCATGGTCAGGAAAAGTGGAAAAGAAGACAAAAGAAAGTTCATTCAAGAGATGATAGCGTAGGCAGAAACTGCAGCACGACAAGGAAAAATGAAGAGGCTCTGTGAAGTAACCAGGACCCTATCAGGCAAAAATATGAATCCCAACAAACCAGTAAAGGATAAAGTAGGAAATATCTTAACAAGTGACACAGAACAGAGAGACAGATGGGTACAGCACTTTGATGAGATTTTAAACCATCCTCTCTCATCAAACATCCCTGATATACACCTGCAAACCACCTACTAAATGTGTGTACAGATCCACCCACAAAGTTAGAAACAATAAGAGCAATAAAGAACATGAAAAATGGCAAAGCAGCTGGCCCGGACGGCATCCCACCAGAGGCACTAAAAGCAGATCCAGCCATATCAGCAGACATACTACATCCTCTACTTAAGCAGATTTGGGAAGAAGAGATAATCCCATCTGACTGGAAACTGGGATACCTGATAAAACTGCCAAAGAAGGGAGACCTGACACAATGCAACAACTGGAGAGGGATAATGCTTCTTTCAGTTCCAAGTAAGGTGCTGACAAGAATCATCATGGAGAGACTTAGAGATGCCTTGGACAAAAAGCTGAGACAAGAACAGGCTGGTTTTCGTCAGGACAGGTCATGTACTGACCACATTGCCACGCTGCGCATTATTATCGAACAGTTCCTTGAGTGGCTATCCCCCTTATACATGACTTTTGTCAACTTTGAAAAGGTTTGACAGTGTGAATAGAGATGCTATCTGGAAGTTAATGAGCCACTATGGAATACCCAAAAAATTTATATCTATCACACAGAAACTATATGAAGACTCCACCAGTCAGGTAATACACAAGGGAAAGCTAACAAAACCATTCACGGTGACGACGGGAGTAAGACAGGGATGTATGCTATTGCCAATGATATTCTTGATGGTAATCGACTGGATCATGCTGAAAACCACAAAAAACGACACAGGAATCCAGTGGTTTCACCAAAAGGCTGGAGGATCTTGATTTTGCCGATGACATCTGCCTACTATCTCACAAGCATCAACATACGCAAGCCAAACTAAATCAGCTATCTGAAGAAGCCTCCAAAGTTGGACTAAAAATCAATAAAAATAAAACAGAGGTCATCAGAATCAATAACAGCCAGGACCTGCCCATACAGCTAAATGGAGAAGATTTACGTGAAACAAACACATTCACATATCTGGGAAGCGTGATCAATAAGGACGGGGGAGCAGACAAGTACATAAAATGTCGTATCAACAAGGCTAGATGTGCCTTCAACTCACTGCGCCCGATGTGGAGGTCCATGGCCCTGTCACTCCGAAGCAAAATTGGGATTTTCAACACAAATGTCAAGGCAGTGCTGCTCTATGGCTCAGAGACTTGGAGGGTCACGAAGACAAATACTGATAAGCTACAGGCATTCGTAAACAAATGCTTACGACATATACTTAAAATAAGATGGCCAGACAAAATATCAAACAAAGACCTGTGGCGAACTTTAAAGCAACAGCCAATAGAGACAGATATCAAGGCCCGAAAATGGGGATGGATCGGACACACATTAAGAAAAGAAAAAGAAAACATCGCAAGGCATGCTTTGGACTGGAACCCCCAGGGAAAAAGGAGGGTGGGCCGGCCAAGGAAGACATGGAGAAGAACGGTTGAAGAAGAGGCGAAAACAGCTGGGCACACATGGGCACAGATAAAGGGGGCAGCCCAAAACCGAGTCCGATGGAGATGTGTGGTTGCAGCCCTTTGCTCCCTAGGGGCCACAAAGGAATGATGATGATAATTAAATATAATTTCAGAAAAAGTTGGTATTAATTTAAAATGTAGATAAAGGTTGAATTTCCAGTTCTGAGTCTGGTTAAACAATATTTTACAGTCAAGGTTCTGTTTCTGCCTCCAGTTACAATTCCTATTCTTGTTAAATTTCCAATTCTGCAGTTCAGGATACAGTCTCTATTCCGATTAAATTTTCAATAAGGTTAAAATTCTTGATCAAGAAATATTTCAGTTATGGGTTAAAGGTCTCTAGTGGTTGAATTTCTGGTTTCAGTTTTACATACATGACAGGTTTCAAAATTGGTTCAGAGTTTTAGGTTCATGTTGAGGTGGAGGTAAAAGAAATATATACAAGAGTATAATTATATTTCAATACAAAAATTAAGTACAACTCAGATGTTTGTATCAAAGACTATTAATTTTTTTTATTCTAATGGCTATTAGGACCTGGGTCCCTATAGCCCTGGATGCTATTTAGATCCAGAATTAAGCTACACATTCGCATAACCTGTAGTAAAATGTATACCTTTTATGTTGATTTTTTCTAGTGGATTTGCTAGTATTTTGTTGTGGTTTATTGTGTGTGTTAAATAGTTTTATTGATTTGTTAGTATAAGGATGTATAATTTATAAATATCCAATATTTAGCCCAATACATAAAATCATTAAGACACTGTGACAGAGTGAAATACGTCATGCCTCCCATACTATCGGATGTTAACACTTCTGTACCAAACTGAAATGGAATTCCCTGTCACTGCTTTTAAGCAAAAATCAAGAAGCTAAGCTAAAATCTAGTGGGTCTAATTGATTCTAAATATTTTCTAGATTTAGATTTTTAAATAATCCCCTATTCTATATGTTGTTGCTCCTCATGTTTTCTTGTCAGTGGGAGAAAAATACTGGCAACATTGTCTAGGGTCACTGAACTCTGACTGAGTTCATTTTGGTCTAGGTATTAGTAGTGTAGAGTGTAGGAGTATAGCATAAGTCATAGCAAGAATGGTGCTATTTGAGATTGTCGATGACAATCCAGGAGATTTCCAGGAGGTTTTTAAATCTTTTTAAATTCCAGTAGAATTCCTGGAGGTTTTTACGTTTTTTAAGATTTCAGGAGTTTTCCAGGACTTTCTGGAATTTCAGGAGGCCGCACGAACCGTGATAATAGCTAGCACACTAGTAAACTAAGCCAATTTAGCATATTTTAAGTTTCTGTGCAAAGTCATTATTACTGAAAAAAATTCCAAAATCAGGTCAGCCTGTGGCATCCTCCACTGAACGTGACTGAAGGAAAAAATATTTGACCTGTGACCTTCATTAAAACAGAATTTACTTTTGTTTTTTTTTTATTTTTAGTAAACATGTGCTTAATCTTACCCAAAAAGTGATAAAAATTTGAAAATTAATTTTAATTACTGTTGTAAAGTGAGATAAACAGCTTAATAAACACATGTTTTCTTGAGGGGATGTGGCACATCGCAATTATAACTTTATATTTCTGTGTTTTATGACAATATTTGTACACAATCAGGCAATCAGGATGCTATGCTTTTAAAATTGATAAAGGGTACGTTAAGTATACCAAGTTACAAAACCTGAAATCTAGCATAAACATTCTATTTTTAGGTGTGACATAAAAAAACAGTCATAAATCTAGCCAAATGATTGGATTCTTGCGCTGCACACATTTTCCCGCGCCTCGTTTTCACCAAACAAGAATATAATATAATATGCATTATTGAGGGGTGATCATTTACACCCTCAAATGTATTGTTTTCACCCTAATGATATTAAACAATTCTATTTTTATTTGATAGTAAAGATGTAATACAAATTGTATCTTACAATAAAGCTATTGTATGACGCACCTGCTTTAGTTTATTCGACTTGAAACACAAGCTAAGTAAGCGTGACTATCTCTCGACGGCCTCGTTTAAGACAAATAAAGAAATAAGGTCAAGCTGACATGATTAAAATGTTAATTATTCACCCCGTAATTACATGGGCAGTTTCGAGTATAAATCTATCCGATTATGATACAATCCTTATTTTTAACTATCATGTGCTTCATGAGAAAGAAATGATTCGATATTTTATATGTTTGCCCAAAACACAGGTGCTTCAAAACCGCGAGAACGAGACTTCATGAATCGAAAAGCCTAATAAAAATTATCATTTTAATACAGTACAGGTTGAACAAGTGTGTAACGAACTTAATGGTCTGGATAACAGCCATGGCTATGGGGACCCGGGTCCTAATAGCCCCGGCCGCTATTAGGACCCGGGTCCCAATAGCCATTTCCAAACATTTTTGGGGTGTGGGGAAATTGCGAGACGCGAAAAGCGAAATGGCGAGGCGGGAAAATGCGAGAAGGTAATGCGAGACATACCTGCGGAATTAAGGGTAAATAGCGAGACACTTTTTACGAAAAAAGTTTTTTCCTTTTTTTTTCCATCTTTATTTATTTAAATTATTTTTTTTTGTTTTAAAATAAACAAGCATTTAGCCATACCCTATAACACGAGTGTTGTATGTTGTTATTTTTTATCTAGATACTAAGAAGATAGAGAGGATCTAGATAGATCTATATCTATCTATTTAAAAATCCTAACATCGTTGCTGTGCTACTGTCATCGCCCGCTCTTGTTAGCGAGAGGAAATTCCCGTCTCAGTCGGCATTAATTTAAAAATCTAGCCCGCTCATGTTTATACAAACGTGAGCTGTGTCATTGTGAATTGGTATAATCTTGTCAGCAGGAGAGATATTTTGCAACATCTATTTATGGATTTTTGTTCTTGCAAAAAGTGTAAAAGTATAAACAATTCTAAAAAGTGCAATTTATTTTTTTATTAAGTAATTTTAATTACAAACAAAATTTACAAACAAAATCTTCTGAAACAGTCCTCAAACACACCTCGTGACACCATCTTTCACACATAGTACACCCAACCCAGTTCATTAGACTCCCATTTATACATTTTTCTTTTGCTACTTCTTCCAATCCACATTCACAACATTTCACATTCTCATCACAGTTGACCTCCTCGTTCATCCCACAAACAACACTGGCACCCATGTTCTCATCATCATCATCCGCACGCTCAACATCTGTTTTCCGTTTTTTAATAATTTGTATTTTTTATCATTTCTGTAATTTTGGCAATGTCTTGCTCATTGTTGTCACCAGCAGTTGAGTTTTTTTAAAACATCGATAATTTCCCAAAATCTTGTCTAATTTCGGTCAAAATAGAGTATTTTCATAGTGTGACTTCACATCTAACCCCCCTCCCCTCCTCCCCCTCATCACACATCGTCATAAAATTACAGACCCCCCCCTACGAGTGTGACGTCATTTATGGAAGACCCCAAATAACACCACCACCAAAACCAAAAAATTCAGATAAGTTCAACTTAATTTTAAAAATATTTGAAGTAGGCCCATAGCTTACGATATAGCTATTACACTTTATTAAAACAGTTTTCTAAAACGCGAAAAAACTTCTAAAATTCTTTTTCTAACATTGCTTTTTATAGTGTGACTTCACATCTAACCCCCCCCCCCCTCCTCCCCCTCATCACACATCGTCATAAAATTACAGACCCCCCCCCCCCTACGAGTGTGACGTCATTTATGGAAGACCCCAAATAACACCACCACCAAAACCAAAAAATTCAGATAAGTTCAACTTAATTTTAAAAATATTTGAAGTAGGCCCATAGCTTACGATATAGCACTAGCAACTGATAATATCGGTGACGTCACTTTATTTTGTAGTATCCAAATGATGTAGGCATTTCCTTGTGCTTAGATTTATATGGTAAAAAAAGCTAGAAAAAAATCGTAGGCGGCGGCTATAATACAAAATTTCTATGCAACAATAGAAAATATGTATGCGGCGGCAGCGGATCCAGGCACGGCCATCTTCAAAGACGGTAAATCAGGCGGCCTCGGCGTTCCACACAAAAGACAGAAGTTGATCTATCGTCGGCGGTATTTCCGTCGGTTTCGAACAAGGTGGTATTCTAAGTCGACACAAAAGAATGGGGGAGTTGACAAATCATCAGTATGTCTAGCGACGGAAAAATAAAAAGTTTTAACAATGTAAACGAAATGTCTTTGAAGTCTGGACCAAATACCACTGAAAATCGGGTGCGGTAAATTTTTCGCAGAAATCTTCGCATTTCAACACCACCCAGCGTAAGTATCGGCTTGTGGTAAAATGCGAGACAAAAAAGTCACGTGACCGACCGTTTTCGCGCCCTTCTCGCATTTTTCCGCCTTGCCATTTCGCTTCTCGCAATTTCCCCACACCCACATTTTTGTCTTTTTCAAAACATAAATCCTCCTCAAAATGTGTAGTAATTATTAAAATTTAAGGAGTCACCTGTTTTTCACATTACTAGTCGCGGGCAATTTTACGTAGATCTACCTAAAATGATAGATTACCTCAATTATAAAATTGACAGCCTATATTCTAGACTAGATTCTAGATCTACTAGATCATCTAGATCTAGCTAAAAACAAAAAAGCTAGCTAAAAATCTAGATGATAGATCAAGCAAGCAAGAGGAGTAGACTCAGTAGACAGTAGTAGTGTAGTAGTACTAGATCTAACTATGTGTAACTAATCTAGTAGTAGATTACTAGTCAGTAGTGAGTAGATCAGTAGAGTGAGTCAGTACTCCAGTAGGTAGAGTCAGTAGAGTCTAGTGAAGTCTAGTCTAGAGCTAGATCGCGCAACATTTAATTAATGTAATATTAAAATACATTGATATACATTTATCTGTATCCTAGATAATTTATCTATATCCTAGATAGATATATATCTAGATCTATGACAAGAATCTTTAAGCTCAAGACATGCAAGTCTTGTTTTTTTTTTCAGAATAAGAGAAGAGATTTACATAAACAAATGAAACCGGAAACGGAAATATAGGTTTTCTAAGCCTATGTTTGCTTTTTCACAAAGATTTTCAACTGCAAATACTGCAATCTATATATAGAAAAGATCTATATAATTCTCTTCTTGGATACCCTAGAAAACACCAAGCTGTAAGCGCGCCTTTGCAGCCCCCTCTCTTCCTCTCTAGGCATATCCCTACCACCCCCACCCCACATGGTCTGGTTAGCTTTGGTTCACGCTAAATATTTACAATCGTAGAGCCGGGTTTATTGACGGCTATTAGGGGCAGATAATTTAGTTTGAAACGATTTTAAACTTAGGGGAGGTAACTAAGAGGAGGCTGCTTTCACGGGGGGGGGGGTATCGTCCTTAACGACCATCTGATAGTGTTTTAAAGCAAATATTTTCAGTGGCAGCATTAATACTGTTGTATTCACAAATTATGAATTACTAAAAAGTAGAAAAAAAAAACAACTAAATAGCGGCGTATGATACGCCGCGGGTCGGCTCGTATAAAATAAATCATTACACATTAGATGCCTGGAAGAAACTCTGCAGGAGACTATTTGTAGGGAGCCTAAATATCGGGAGCCTATATGTCGATAGTTAATATGACGGAAGCCCATTTGAAATATGTCGGGTCCCTTTTGACGGAGCTATTTTGACTGTGTCGTTTTATTGGGGGCCGATTTGACGAACTCATATTGATGGGGCTGTTTTGACGGTGCACCTTGTTGGATTTTTAAATAAAAAGTAAAACTTGATTTATAATCATAGCACCCTTTTAAAATATCTAATTTCATTATATATTCAGCCCAGTTTCTCTCTCTCTCTCTCTCTCTCTCTCTCTCTCTATATATATATATATATATATATATATATATATATATATATATATATATATATATATATATATATATATATATATATATATATACTAGCCGTCCCGGCCAGGCCCTGCTCTGGCTTCTGTGAAAAACCTTTCTGTTAAAGACCATTACCTGTGTGTTTAGTAATCATCATAAACCCGGCATTGCCCACCCAAACCATAACCAACCAAAACCAAAACAACAAAACGCAAACATAACGCTAACACAATTACAAATACAAACGAAAACAAAAACCTAACAACAAACCCAACCACAACCACAAACACCAATACAAACACAAAGAAAAAACAAACAAAAAAGCAAACGAAAACAAAAACCTAACAACAAACCCAACCACAACCACAAACACCAATACCAACCAATAACAACACAAAAAAAAAACGAAAAAGCAAACGAAAACAAACCAAATCCAAACGCAAAACCAACCAAAAACATAAATACAAACCCAAAGAAAAAAACACAAACAAAAACGAAAAAAGAAAGAACAAAAACGAACCAAATCAAACCGCAACCACTAACGCAAACCCAACGGAATCGCCTGTTTTAGCTTAATAAACGACTATAGTACCCCAACTTATTCATAGTCTTTTGCACTCACTTAAACGAACGCGCCTGTTTCAATTTGATGAACAATTATAATACTCCAAGCTTATCCGTAAAATACCTACAACATTTGCACTTTTCTTTTTGGATTTGCTTCCATAGACATTGTCCAACCAAGAACAAGGCAGCAGTTGTTTGATTTTGGTGTTGTCTCTCCTAGAAGAGTGGCTGTCCCCGGCTAACGAGCCTCATCTGCCCGATGGTTCGAACTCGAGACTTTTGGTTTAGCAACCATGAGCTTTAACGACTCAACCACGCCGAAAAAGCAAACCACGCCGAAAAAGCAAACGAAAACAAACCAAATCCAAACGCAAAACCAACCAAAAACATAAATACAAACCCAAAGAAAAAAACACAAACAAAAACGAAAAAAGAAAGAACAAAAACGAACCAAATCAAACCGCAACCACTAACGCAAACCCAACGGAATCGCCTGTTTTAGCTTAATAAACGACTATAGTACCCCAACTTATTCATAGTCTTTTGCACTCACTTAAACGAACGCGCCTGTTTCAATTTGATGAACAATTATAATACTCCAAGCTTATCCGTAAAATACCTACAACATTTGCACTTGATCAATCCCCGCTAATTATGTAATTATTTTTTTTTTACCAACACCAAAACAAAGTAATTAAAAAAAATTCATAAAAAACGTTTTAATAACAAGCTTTTATGTAATGATGCACTAAAAAGTAGAAAATAAATTATAGACTACTATTTAAATAACTATAAAGAAAAGCGTGGGTCACTTTAGTATCTATTGGATACCTTTACTAATGTTAAGGAAGACACCCACGCTTTTCTTTATAGTTATTTAAATAGTAGTCTATAATTTATTTTCTACTTTTTAGTGCATCATTACATAAAAGCTTGTTATTAAAACGTTTTTTATGAATTTTTTTCCCAGTACTTTACATGTTTTATTTACAATAGAGTTACATGACTAAAAACCATTGCGCGCCTACTGAACATCACGTTCAGTAGGCGCGCAATGGTTTTTGAACGCAGCCATTACGTGATGGCGCAGCTATTGAAGGTGATGACGCGTGTGGTGTGGTTGGCTAGACATGCCTACTAATTCGGTCCAAATTTTTATTTAATTCATAAAAAATTAATTAGGCATCCAATTAAGTCAAATTTAGTTTCAGATTGCATTGTCTTCATGTCTTGACCCACGTGCCAAGTGTGAATCGTATCGGTCAAGTAGAACTGTCCGAATTTTCAATCCTGCGTTTCCGTCTAGACAGACAGACAGACTGTCGAGGAAGTGAGTTAAATAAAAGCTTGTAAAAAAAATTCATAAAAAACGTTTTAATAACAAGCTTTTATGTAATGATGCACTAAAAAGTAGAAAATAAATTATAGACTACTATTTAAATAACTATAAAGAAAAGCGTGGGTCACTTTAGTATCTATTGGATACCTTTACTAATGTTAAGGAAGACACCCACGCTTTTCTTTATAGTTATTTAAATAGTAGTCTATAATTTATTTTCTACTTTTTAGTGCATCATTACATAAAAGCTTGTTATTAAAACGTTTTTTATGAATTTTTTTTTTCAGTACTTTACATGTTTTATCTACAATAGAGTTACATGACTAAAAACCATTGCGCGCCTACTGAATATCACGTTCAGTAGGCGCGCAATGGTTTTTGAACGCAGCCATTACGTGGTCGTGATGGCGCAGCTATTGATGACGCGTGTGGTGTGGTTGGCTAGACATGCCTACTAATTCGGTCCAAATTTTAATTAATTCATAAAAAATCAATTAGGCATCCAATTAAGTCAAATTTAGTTTCAGATTGCATTGTCTTCATGTCTTGACCCACGTGCCAACTGTGAATCGTGTCGGTCAAGTAGAACTGTCCGAATTTTCACTCCTGCGTTTCCGTCTAGACAGACAGACTGTCGACTGACGAGGAAGTGAGTTAAATAAAAGCTTGTAAAAAAATTCATAAAAAACGTTTTAATAACAAGCTTTTATGTAATGATGCACTAAAAAGTAGAAAATAAATTATAGACTACTATTTAAATAACTATAAAGAAAAGCGTGGGTCACTTTAGTATCTATTGGATACCTTTACTAATGTTAAGGAAGACACCCACGCTTTTCTTTATAGTTATTTAAATAGTAGTCTATAATTTATTTTCTACTTTTTAGTGCATCATTACATAAAAGCTTGTTATTAAAACGTTTTTTATGAATTTTTTTTTCAGTACTTTACATGTTTTATCTACAATAGAGTTACATGACTAAAAACCATTGCGCGCCTACTGAATATCACGTTCAGTAGGCGCGCAATGGTTTTTGAACGCAGCCATTACGTGGTCGTGATGGCGCAGCTATTGATGACGCGTGTGGTGTGGTTGGCTAGACATGCCTACTAATTCGGTCCAAATTTTAATTAATTCATAAAAAATCAATTAGGCATCCAATTAAGTCAAATTTAGTTTCAGATTGCATTGTCTTCATGTCTTGACCCACGTGCCAACTGTGAATCGTGTCGGTCAAGTAGAACTGTCCGAATTTTCACTCCTGCGTTTCCGTCTAGACTGACGACAGACTGTCGACAGAGGAAGTGAGTTAAATAAAAGCTTGTAAAAAGTAAATTCTTTTCCACAAAATGCAATGGTTTTATAAAGGGAAGTAATTGTGTTTTCCTAAGTTATCAAAGGGAAGTTAGTGCTATAGGACTAAATAAAGACATAATTAGAATTTTTGTAAAAGATGATATTTTTTTAAAACTTGTGTTTAATGAACATGCCGACAATTATTACTATAATTTGAAAAATGAAAATTATTTCCCAACACTTTCAATAGTAATTTTTTAGCTCATAAATTTAGACAGATGCGTACGATAATTGTCTAACACTTAAATCCATGCAAGACCAACGACAAACATATGCGTTACATACAGAACTGAGCTTATATATATATATATATATATATATATATATATATATATATATATATATATATATATATATATATATATATATATAAACTAGCAGCATACCCGTGCTCCGCCACGGTGAATCTTTTTTAAATGTACCAACTTGGGATCAGAACAAAATTAAACCCATACACACACACACAAAAACAAAACAGAACGTTAACGCAAACACTAACAGACCCCCCCCCCCCCCCCAAAAAAAAAAAAAAAAAAAAAAAAAAAAAAAACAACCCACAAACGTTAGTGCAAAATCAAACACAAGAGAAAAGAAAACGCAAACACAATGCAAACACAAATTAAAAAAACAAAACAACCACAAACGAAAACAAAAAACACAAACAAACACAAAAGAAAACACAACATAACATGCAAACACAATTACAAACCTAAACAATAACACATAACATAAACTTAAATGCAAACAAACGCATAGTGCTCACAATCTAGCACGGGGGGGGGGGACAAATCGCTCCCTGCCGGGGCACCGGCGGAGACGCCTGATTAAACTTAGTAAACGACTATAATACCTCAACTTAACTATAGTCGATGACACTCACTTTAACCAACGTAGGCACTATAGTGCTCACAGGGAGGCCCGGGGCGCCAAATAGCACTCTCTTGCGGCGCCAGCGGACGCCCTGGATTCGATTTAGTGAAGGACTTTAGTAACCCTTCTATTACAGTTACACAATCAAGGTAGAAAACAGTTAAATCAGTATGTAAAGGCTTGTGCCCCTTTTGGCGAGCCCCTATGGTCAGTGCGCTGGGCGCCCCCCTCCCCTCCTAGCTATACGCCTCTGGCTATTCGTCGGAGTTAATCAATTGCTTTAACAGGTGACGCAGTGATCGCCTCATCGGGGTATAAAACTTTGACCTACACACACCCGCACATATAATTGTGCCACCATGGTAGATTGACACATCAAGAGATTCCATGGAGATAGCCAGAGTTTCTTCCAGGCATCTCTTCGGGGGGGGGGGGGGGGTGTGTGCTCTTCTCTCCCCCTCCCCCCACTCGAACGAAATACCAGCGTTCATGACTCAAAGGGAAGGAGCCATGCCCCTGAGCGGCCCTACATTCCAGGCCGAGTTTATGCGTCCCTCCAACAAAATCCAAGTTGAGCACAAAGTACACAAACTAGCTGAACAATTTTCCACTTTAATGGCCCTTATCACACAGTAGGAAACGCAGTTTACCTACTTTGGAAAAGTACCCAGGGATTAAGACCAGATCATGTTATAAGTACCACTACAAGGACTGGTGAACGGAAAAAAGTCACAGGAAAAAAAAAACTGAGAAAACGTCACAGATTTTGCTAGGAAAAAAGTCACAGAAAAAAGTCACAATGGAAAAATGTTATCGGAAAATAGTCACAGAAATAAAGTCACAGGAAAAAAGTAAAAAAAAAATCTTTTTAGAAATATGTTGATGTATTTGTTAAGAATTGTAAAATTTTGTATGTTTATTTTTGTGGGTTGTATTTTTTTTTATAGCATAAATTATTTATAGACGTTTAAAGCATTATCGTTTATCACAATTATAAGCAAAAATACTCTAAGATAATTTACACAATAATCTCAACTTTGTTACGTATTAAGTTCAATTCGCGGTAGAAAAGTTAATTATTAAACAAATTTAGGCACATCATTGTGTTTTGCATATGTTTAGCCATAGGCTATACTCTGGTTGACCTCTCCTCAGTAGGCATTGTCCGAACATATTTTGTGTTGTTGACGTTTTGTGTCAATGACAGCCTTTGAACCTTGTCGGCTTTCTGTTTTGATCCTAGGTTATGTAATGAGCGTGATAAATGTGGGCAGTAAAGGTGGTTGAACTATTTTCTAAGTATAACTATTGTTGCGATGAGTTGAGGGCAGCAAGTCAGATGAACATATCATTTCACGTTATTTTAATGTTGGTATTAAAAAAAAACACGATGAAAACTGTGGACTTAGGAGCATTCTATTAAATGCTATTAATATTATGTTTAACATAATTACAATCTACATACTAAATATTTTTAGATGAATTATAAAAATTACTATGCGTATACAACCTACACACATTACATTACATTTAGTTGATCCTAAGTTAATTTGCACTCTCTGAATATTTAATACATACAAGTATTAACAAATTCCATGCAAATATATATTTGTGAATTTTTTTCTGTTTTTTTTTCCTGTGACTTTTTTCCTACAATCACAAGAACTACCTTCCCTGCAACTGCGCAAATTACAAACCACAAACCTTCAGTAAGACTAAGAGTCCCACTACTGACTGAGGGACAGGACCTCGGCTCCACTTTACACAAACTAGAAGGAAATTGTTCAACGCTAAAAGTATGCTTGTATACATTAAAGGGGTTCCAGTGACTGCTGTGCAACAGTAGCATCCCAAATGATGGTTATTTCATCGCCTATGTAAGTGTTGGCTGGTACCCCATTCAATGTCTCAAAAGGATGAGTGACTATATTATCTATTGGATACCTTTACTAAATGAATAAAAATGCTTTAATAACAAGCTATTATGTAATAATGCGCTAAAAAGGATAAAATAATGGTTTTCGTTACATAAATATTAATATACTACTATGTAAATAACTATAAAGAGCTGTGATATGTATTGGATACCTCTATTAATTTTTAGGAAGAGACACCAAGGTGCTTCTTGTCACACAATAGACCGGACGCCAGTTGCTATGACGATTTGCAGTTTTACAGCTGAATATAGTAGTACCTCGTACCCGCTAAGAAGAATGCCCAATTAATGGATGCCAAATGCTAAGATAGCCGCTATGGAACTCTGAGTGCCAAACCATGTATTGACAAAAAACGCACTCTTCCAGGCGCAGCCCATAAAATTTGTTTAATATATATTTAATTGCAAAAACCTTTCGTGGAGTATTCTTACCAACTCCCCAAAGTTTCATGGCAATCAGATGAACTTTTATTTGTATATACCAAATATAGAGAAAAATCACATCACACCCTGCCCCTGTGAAATAAAAAGATAAAATTCCACAGAAACCTATTCTGGAGTATTCTCAAAATCTCCCCAAAGTTTCATGGCGACTTAACGACAAACACATACATTACTTTTTATATATATATAGATATTATATATATAAATATATAATGACCCCCCCTCCCCCTCCTACACACCTAAAGAAAGAATTTCTGAAAGAAACACTGCACTCTGATCATCTAGAATATTGCAGACTTTCTAGCCCTGCAATTCAAGTCAATAAACATTAGGCAAAACCCATACAAGTATGAGAGTGTGTTACTGCTGTATCTAAATATATTTAAATATAAACAGAGAGAGTTAAGGTGTATCTAGAGACAGTGAAAGTAAAGTTCCCCTTCCAAATCTTACAGTCTATGGGACAAGTGAAGTAAAGTTCACCTGTTTCTGTGACCTTGGCATATACCAATCGGCTTTTACTTTTACTAATGTGAGTTAGGTACTCATCAGAGCTGGGTGGACTCAGAGACAGTGTACTGACTTGAACCCAGGCTAAAACTCGAGACTTATGGGTTAGCAGTCTAGCTCTCAACTGCTAAACCACGCGGTCCCAAATCTACAGATAGTAGCTAACATACATTTGTAAGAAAATTTTTTTTACTGTATTTACTGTGTTTATTGTCTCTATTTCAACAAAAAGTGCAAAGAGTTATGCATTTAGTTTTTGGACCCACAAGCTGCACTAGGCAAATTATTTTACTGAATTTCTTCATATGCAAAAAAAACAAAAAATGACAATGCAGGGAATAATATGGCCCTACATATACTAGCAGTTTTTTCCAGGCATCTCTTCGGGGGGGGGGGGGGGGGGGGGAAGTCTACATAGATACTAGATACATATATAATAAAACCAGTGCAGGCTTTACTACTAAAAATTACATGTAACAATAATATAAAACACAAGATATTTGAAAATATTAAGAAATACTTGTTTACTTTGAGTAAAAAAATAATATAAAATGTCTTTTTACTTGTAAAATAGCCTGCAGGGGAGGGAGGCCATCATGTGCAGTTTCTTTCTGACATCTCTAAGGGCCCCCTTCCAATGTACATCCACCACACCTACTCCCCTCTTGATAGAAATATAATTAATTTACCACTGTCCACTCCCACCCACCAAGGAAAATGTTAGAAAGAAACACTGATCCCAAGGAGGGGATGGAGTACCAAAAGAAGTATAAATAATAAATGTAATCAAAAGTTAATTTTTAGTGATAATACTGTTATACTTTTTTTTAAAAATATACATACTGATTTAACTATTCACTTTTACTGCTTGAGCAGTTGAAGATCAGTGATCAGTACAAAAAAAAACCCCGCCTTCAATCAAAATTGGAAAAGACACCATGTCAACAAATAATACCACTTTTATCAATCGTCAATTGTTACAGAAGTAACAAATTAATGATTTTTCTTAATGGCCACTGGAAAATACTCTCCAAAGGCTCATCAAATATTTTAAAATTGACTTGGGTGTTATTGAAACAGAAGTCCAAATCCATATGCATAGACAGTAGCTGTATATAGCAACTTTTATATCCTGATATTAGATGTATTCTCCCATAAATATATTTAAAAAGACATGCAGATGTAATGTAAATATTGAATGTTTAGAAACTTCTGTGCAACTGTAAAATAACTTCATATTTTAAAACAAATTCTAATAACTAAGGGTCAACTGGCTGTACCCAAGAGGTCCAGGAGATTTTAAAAGGGGTCCCCAATCCCAGACTGAAATTTTAATAATCATAGTGCCTCTTTTCTCCATCAAAGCCTGACTTCTGAAGGAATGGTAAAATGCTAACAACTATTACAGCACCATACAGGGGGCCCACCTGGATTTTTCAAGTTAGGTGGGTCAGTCCACACATGCTAACACAAAAGAATTTCAGTAATTAATTTAAAAATTATGGAATGAATGCTTATTTTTAACATAATCAAATTTAACAAAAAACACAATGTACAAATAGCCTTCAATTTATGCCCCAACTTGTAAAGGGGTATAAAAATAATATTCATAATTAATATTCATAAAGTTTATGTTAAAATGCTGAAGCACAAAATTGTTATGGTATAGGACTAAGTTTGAGCAGTTGTATCAGGTAATTCCCCCAAGCAAAGTCATTGGGAATTTGCAATGAATATTAACTAGCACAAACTGAGGGTTAACTGTGTTTAAATGCTAATGACAAATATATTGTTTGTTATCATTGAATATGGCAACAATTCAACATGAAATTATGTGCTGATTGAGAGTGTTTAATGTGATGCACTGAATATTTATAAAATCAACCTCCAATATTATAAATACCTCAATCTGTTGAGTACTTTCACAAAATTGTTTTTAATAAAGTGTATATATTATTATAATGTTAGGAAAATGAGGAACTCAATGAAAACTTAAAATTTCAGATCTCATAATATGTGATAAATATGATTTTTGTAGTAAATTAAATTATACTTGTACAAAAGAGGAACATTGCAGTAGTCAATATATTTAAAAAAAAAAGAATGATCACAAATCTTTATTATCACAGTCTTGTTGATATTGTAGTTTCATTGATAAGAATTCCATCCAAAAGATTTGATGCAGTATTTCTCTCTTTCAGAAGAGATGTTTCATTTAAAGAGTCTGTTGATACTGTGGAATTATCACAAGCATTTTTTTTATTCAAATAAGAGGAAGATAGATTTTCACCAGTTGTAAATGCACTTCTTGATCTATCTAATTCAGTATTTGGTATTATTTCTACAGGATCACAATTTGGATTAAAGCATGCTTTATTGTCAGTTACCTTTGTTTTTACTAATACACTATCATGGAATTTTGTATAATTTTTAGAAAGATGCAATGATGAGACAGAGCTATCATTTGGTTCTGCTATGTTTGACCGTAAAGCAGTATCAAAAAGGTCTGTATAAACATTATGTGTGTTAGTGTATTCTGATTCACAATCAGCCATATCTTTAGACCATGCTTTTTTCTTATTGTGGTTTACTGTATGAGAATCAATGTTTTCACTTGCACTAAAGCCTTGCACAAATGTAGCAATATTACAAGTAATTTCAGAAGATCCATTACTTGTAAACAATTCATTAATAGGTTTAGAACTACTAGATTGGTAACTTGTATTGCAATCAATTTTAGCTGCACTGTCCAAAGAGAGTGTATGCTCTGTTTCCAAAGACTGAGCCTGGAAAATATAGGATGGTTCTCTACTAGGACAGGGGGAGTAAATTGTATCAGTTATTTGTAGTATTTTATCACACTGATTAATAGCACAGTTAATGTCAGCACACTTATTAATAGTTTCTGTATTATCCCTCTTTGTGTGTGAGATTTGTTGACTGTTATATTTCTCATCAGACAAACACCCCAAGTTACTATCATTTAATGCTGCATCATATACCACTTGTAGAGTATAAGGAAAATTGTACTTTGAAACTTTGCTAGAAGATGAAATATCAAACGTATTGTCTAGCAAAGAGTGACTTCCATATTCACAGTTTGAATGATTATTTGAAACAATAGGTACATTGTCTTCTAAGTCAGCTATTCTTTTTTCTGCCCCTATTCTATTAAAAGGCTCATTTGCACTTTCAATATAATGATGCAGATTATTAGAGACAGTGAGGTTGGAAGGGTGCAGTTCAAACTGTTTCTTTTCTGTATGATCGTTTGTATTGAATTTAGAAAAATAATTCTTTGAACTTTGTAGGTTATGATGAATTTTTTTCTCTTCCTCTTCAAGACACTGAAGTTCTTTTAACTTAATGGACAAGCGTTTCTGAAAAAGAAAAATCTTCAAATAATTTTTTTTAAAGTTCAAGAAAAATAAAACAGGAGTGATCTCCCCTAAACTTTCTTGCATATTCTTATATAACTTGGAATATAGACATGATTTTTAATTATTTAAATTTAAAAAAATAGAATAGAATCTCATAGAAAAAGAATTGCGCACCAATCGACCGACAAAACAAAATGTGCATAATAGTGCACAATATTATTAGTACTTTATAAATTTACATGCGGTTTTTTTTGAGAAATCGGAAATAGCGTAAATTAGTATTTCGGTCAACGGAAATTACTCAAAATTTGACAGAAGGTAGAGAATTAGATCTTTTACTTACATGTGAAATTTCATTTATCTATCTGAAATAGTACTCAAGTTATAGGCTTTTGAAAAATTCAAAGTAGAAAAAGTACCACTTCCGGTTATTGGAAATCGCCCAAAAGTTGATCAGGATCTACGATTTTGATAAAATACTTATATATGAAATTTCATCAACCTAGCTGTAACGGTACTCAAGTTATCGTGTTTACACACAGACAGACACACAGACAGACACACAAACATACGGACAAGATTGCAAAATTATGTTTTTCCGTATCAGTGAGGTGTAAAACGTCGCTTTTTTTTTTGCACGATTACAAGACTTTCTCTATACTTCGTATATACGAGAAAGTAAAAATTGGGCTCTGACCATAAAGTATTTGAGATAACTATAAAGTTTTGCATTTTTTCCATTTCATGTATTTCCAATATATTAATTAATTATAATTAAAAATTCATCAACAGAAATTAAACCATTTACAATTTGAAAAGACCTGACCTTGAGTCTAAGATATCGTGCATGAAGTTCTACTTTTGTGCAACAATCTTCAAACAGTACCACCAGCCTGAAAATATTTTTGAATCTATATTATCTTTTCCAGCACCATCAATATTTACTCGCTGTTATTTTGTTTTATTTAACACATATGATTATTTGTACCTCAAATCATAACCACTTCTTTGAATCTTGTTTACCAATTCATTATGTGTAGCTGCTTCAACACTTTCCCCATTCACAGAGAGAATTACATCACCTAACAATGATTTAACAATTAAAATTTGAGCTATTGTTTAAATAATAACAAAAATCAATATGTGTAACTGGTATAAGTAACCATGCAACCAACTTTAAGAGAAGGTACAATACGTTTATCTGTTTATAAACAACCTGGGGGGGGGGGGGGGGAAGAAAGAACCTATCTCACAGTGACTAACAGCTGCAAGATTTAATGTCTACTTTTAGTGCATTATTACATAATAGCTTGTTATTAAAACAGTTTTTAGGAAAAAAAATTTCAGTACTTTAAATTTTTAAAATTTAAAATTGAGTTGCATGACTAAAAACCATTGCTCACCTAATGAATGATGCCAAATACAATATCATGACGGACATAAAACTTTGTACAGTGCTCGTAAGATTGGGAAAACATTATTATTTTGTAATAATTAGGGTAAAAAAAAAAGGTATTTTAAACATTAATTTTACCTCTTCTCATACCAGCCATCCATGCAGGCCCTTTGAACTCCACAGAGTCTACATAAGACATAATCTCAACCTCTTGGGTTCGCTTGTTTTTTATTCCATAGGTCTAAAAATAGATTCACTTGAACAAAATATTGCATAAATAAAGACATTTACGTTTACTTCCCTACCGTGAATTGCAACATAGTTTGCTTATTTTTGTTTTGCACCATTAACTAGTTATTATAAACTGTTATTTTAACTATATCCCGTTCCTCAAGGTTTTTTCTATCAAAAAGTTATACCATGTATGGAACATGTTGAGGGTGTCTTGACATGGTATACCAAGTTTGATCTCTATTAGTCAAATATTATGCAAATTATGAAATGTGTACAAAAATGTAAGTGTCTCAATAGAGTAAACAATAACACTTTATTAACAACATGCGATTCTGGCGGAAGGGATATATTTATTTAACATATTTTACTCAATATGTTGTTAAAATTTTTTTTACAGATAATTCTAACACATTTATTTTAATAGATATGGTTTGTATCAAATAATTATGGAAATAATGAGTCAGGTGGTGGAAAATGTGGACAACAGTTTCTATGCCATCCATAATGATGTTTGAATATTTTGGTATATCATCAATAAAGTACAAATTTAACTATTTTCTATAACCCATCTTCTTCTTTGAACTTTAATTAAAACACATATCTTTCCAAAGTATAGTATGCATAATCTAGATGGGTTTTATTTTTACAGAAGAACCCAAAAATTCACCTGCAATGTAAAACCCCATGACTTTGTTTTGCTTCTAGTCAATTTTATAGTTCTGCGACGTTTAGTTTCATCTGGATCTGTAACAATTTCTCTATCTCTTGCTAATTCATCTAGACCAGAGCTGAATGAACCTTTCAAAATAGGAACCTAAATATATTTGAAATAAAACAAATATAAAAACCTTTATAATAACAATAAAATTTAATTGAAGTAATACTAGGGCCCATTCGCGTACATCAAGTTTCTTAAGCAGAATCAAAGTACAATATAGACTAAATATCGTCTACTTTAAATTTTTATTTACAATAGAGTTGCGTGACTAAAAACCATTGCGCACCTAATGAACGTGATAACGCGTATAATAGAGCTGAATGGTTGGGTAAGACAGCCTACTAATTTGGACACAATTTTAATTAATTCATAAAAAATTAGGCATCCAATTAAGTCAAATTTAATGTCAGATAGCATTGTCTTCATGTCTTGACCCACGTGCCACCTTTGAAACGGATCTGTCAATTGTGCTCAAAATTTCGCTCGGGCGTTTTGATCTAGACAGACGGGACGAGGAAGAAAGTTAAATAAAAGCTTGTAAAAAGGAAAACATTACAACAAGCAGGAGAGACATTTCAATATTTGAAGAGAGAATTTATGATAAAACTAGCATGCCCGTCCCCACCTGTTTGCGTGGTCTCAGAAGAAAGTCTGATGGCTATCACTCACAGGATAGTCTGAGGCGCAAAATTGCAACATGCTGGGGCGCCAGCGGACGCACCTGATTCAATTTTGTGAACTACTAAATTACAACATCTTATCCATATTCTATTGCATTGTTTAAAACAAATGTATGCATCATAGCGCTCACGGGAAAGCCAAGCAGCCTGCAGAGTACTGGGGGATGCTCTTGATTTGATTTAGTGAGCAACCCATTCTATCCATAGCCTATCGCACACTTTCAAATGAATGTAGGCGCCATAGTATGCAAATTTGAATTCTTTTCTCGCAGAAATCTCCCCAGGTGTATTTTCAACAACTTCACAAAGTTTCATGGCGATCGGATGAAAGGTGTTGTATTGCATAAAAGACAGACAGACAAACATACATTGCTTTTTATATGTATAGATAACTTAGGAATAGTACATCAATGAAATCCAAGAAAAAGCTCCTGTCAGCTCTCCTGACATGTAACACCAGATTTAAATTTACTGCAGGACTAACAGATCAATATATGCACTGCTTTTTGGAGACTTGTAGATAGCTAACACACTTATAAAGTAAATATTTTCTGACCGTAGTTAATAAAGAAATAAATAAAAAAATAAATAAAAAGGTAATCAGGCTGTTACTTTAAACAGTCAGTGTGAGTGTGTTGGAAAACAAAGCAAAAACTACAATCAAATCTACAAAACAAATATATAAAGATATTATATATGAAAATAGTAAGTCTGTATTGAAGTTTTATAAAACAGTACCATATTTTTTCTCCATTTCATTTTTCTTAATTAATTTGACATGCCACATGCTAAAATTATTCAGCTTGCAACCTTAACTCTAAAATTAACTCTCAAGTGTAAAAACAACACCTTAGTCACCTAAGCAATATTTCCTTATCTCATTATCTCCCTTTATTACTGAATAGAGTAGTCTCAAAAACTAATTTTTAATCACAATGTTCTGGCCAAAAAGTTATGTATCTGGAAAGTTTGAATCAGATTAAAGCAGTAGAAGTGGGTTAGAATTGAGTAGCTAGATTTGACCACAAATCCACAGACCTTGTAAACTAAGAAAAAGCTTGTAAAAACTGGCAGAATGTAGACTGACATATAGACAGGTGAGGTTAAGATTGACAATAACAGAGTTGATTGAATTAAAAATGCACAGCTTCAAAGTAGTATTTTAGGATAATATTCAAAAAACTTTAAAGAGGATGTTCTATTATATGTTATGAAGTGTGTAAATGTTGTAAATGTTCAATTTTGAACACACTTCTGTATTCTGTAGGGCCCTACCTTCAATTTCCCACCAAGTAAAAGGTTAAAGTTGAAATTTTTTACTGACCTCATCATTCTCAAAGTCATTTAAAAATGGTCTATGATTATGAACCAGGTTCAAATCAAATGATCTTGAGCGTATCATTCCAAATTTCAATGTAGTTTCTTTTAAGTTGTATTAATCCTCTTTAATGCCAATGCTTGATATCAGGTCCTAAATTGAAATATTTCATTAGCTCAATTGATAATTCAGTATTGTTGTAAACAAATGATAAATCTGTAGGTATCAAGTCATTAAATAAGGTCTTAAATGAAGAAATAAAAATATTTTGGCAACTGCGAACAGGGATTACCAGCAAGAAATAGAGCAGATGACAATGAAGCTTAAATAAAGTTTAAAATAAAGGATTTTCTTTAAAAATAAAACAAATATAAAAAGTGTAGAGATTTCATGAGCCACCAATGCTTTTATTAAACAGAAAGTTTGTTTTATTTTCTTATGTTCAGTGCATTTAAAAGCTTTGCGACTAGGGAGTGAGGTATAGATTGAGAGTGATGCTATTTGTTATTGTGTCCATTTAAGAAATATGGTTTAAGTTTAATTAAGCTTTTAGGCTCATATCTACTATGACTACGTAGGTCATAGATGATCAATTTTTGTTATGTACTCTAATTAAATCTATACTAATCTAACAGCTATAATTGACAGTTTCCACTTTTCCCAAGTTTTTTTTCCCTTAGCAAAAATCTAAGGGACAGGTTTTTTTTGTGTGTGCAGATAGGCCCTATGCCAGCAATCATATCACAAACAAAAAAAAAAAAAAAAAAAAAGTAACTCTTTCATGAACGGGAAAAAATAAATTTTTGAAAATATAGGGGCATAAAAGATAAAGTATCTGATGGATTCTAGCCCTCAACTTCCAGCACAGCAGCCTCCCACATGTCCACACATCATGCTAAATTTGATGTTTTTAACATTAAGTCTATCAGGAGAATTTTTATACCATTGTCCGATAATAGAATCTTCTTTAAAAAAAGGGTGTTAGGTTACTAAATACACACATTGCTGGCTAATGTCAATGGTAACCCTGTCCCTAATGGGTGTTGGGAAATTGCGAGACGCGAAAAGCGAAATGGCGAGGCGGGAAAATGCGAGAACATAATGCGAGACATACCTGCGAAATCAAGGGTAAATAACGAGACACCTTTTGCGAAAAAAAGTTTTTTTTGTGCTTTTTTTATCTTTATTTATTTAAATTTTTATTTTTAACACGAGTGTTGTATGTTGTTATTTTGTATCTAGATTTCATCATATATATATATATATATATATATATATATATATATATATATATATATATATATATACTAGGCATACTGCCTAGCTTCGCTTAGGTTTTCAAAAAAGTTGAGAAATTGAATGATTAATTTATAGGTGATTGGCTGTTATGTTAAATGCTTAGGGCCTAAATTTATACAGTCGGGTACTTTTATTGTGCCCATAAAATGATGGAATATTCGCAAACTTATTACTCGCAAGGTTATTAGAACTGAAAGGGCTTTCATAAAAATTATCGATCAAATATTATATTAAATTACTTTTGCAATTAATTTTACAATTTCAATACAATACAAAACTTAATTTATAACACAATATCCATTTAAAACAATGCTATACTTTATGATTTTTGTTTTTTCTTAAAAAGAGTATACAAAATATTAAAAAATTGTTACATTAAAAAGTTACCTCCCCTGCTCATAGACCAATTGACCAAATTTCTTATAATGAGAATTTCACTCGCAGTCATTTTTAGCCCTCTTCGAGGGCTTTAATGCTGACCAACAGGTTTTCCATACGGCCCATCTATTTATAGAGGTGTATGCAAAACATTAGCCAGTTATACAAAGAAGAGGTACCCTAAAATTTGTGTAGAAATTACCCAGTTTTCCCCATAAAATACAAAGTTTATATAGGGAAATACAACTGGTCAGTTTTGACCCGTTTCCCGATTTTTCCCGGACATGGCCAGTTTTTTGTGACACCCCAAGGCGTTCTCCTACCACCTCACAAAATATCAAGGGGTGTCGTCGGAGGAAATTTTTTTTCGTAATAGAGCTCATATAAAGAGAATTTCACTCGCGGTCACTTTTTAGCCCTCGTCGAGGGCTTTGAGTGTAACCGACAGGTCTGACCTACGACCAAGCCATTGACCTAGGAGCATGCCAAAACTTAGCCAGATGTAAAGAGGGTAAGTGCCCTAAAATCCGTTTGGAAATGACCCTCTGTTTTCCCCATAAAATACAAAGATTATATAGGGAAATACAACTGGTCAGTTTTGACCCCTTTACGAAGTTTTCCCAGATATGCCGAGTTTTTTGTGACACCCCAAGGTGTTCTCCTACCACCTCACAAAATTTCAAGGGGGGTAGTCGGAGGAATTTTTTTTTCGTAATAGATCTCATATAAAGAGAATTTCACTCGCGGTCACATTTTAGCCCTCGTCGAGGGCTTTGAGTGTAACCGACAGTTTTCCCTAAAGGTAAAGCCATTGACCTAAGAGCATGCAAAAAATTAGCCAGATATACTGAGCTTAAGTACCCAAAAGTCTGCGTTGAAATGACCCTCTGTTTTTCCCATAAAATACAAAGATTATATAGGGAAATACAACTGGTCAGTTTTGACCCCTTTACGAAGTTTTCCCAGATATGCCGAGTTTTTTGTGACACCCCAAGGCGTTCTCCTACCACCTCACAAAATATCAAGGGGGGTCGTCGGAGGAATTTTTTTTTCGTAATAGAGCTCATATAAAGAGAATTTCACTCGCGGTCACTTTTTAGCCCTCGTCGAGGGCTTTGAGTGTAACCGACAGTTTTCCCTAAAGGTCAAGCCATTGACCTAGGAGCATGCAAAAAATTAGCCAGATATACTGAGCTTAAGTACCCAAAAGTCTGCGTTGAAATGACCCTCTGTTTTTCCCATAAAATACAAAGATTATACAGGGAAATACAACTGGTCAGTTTTGACCCCTTTACGAAGTTTTCCCAGATATGCCGAGTTTTTTGTGACACCCCAAGGCGTTCTCCTACCACCTCACAAAATATCAAGGGGGGTCGTCGGAGGAATTTTTTTTTCGTAATAGAGCTCATATAAAGAGAATTTCACTCGCGGTCACTTTTTAGCCCTCGTCGAGGGCTTTGAGTGTAACCGACAGTTTTCCCTAAAGGTCAAGCCATTGACCTAGGAGCATGCAAAAAATTAGCCAGATATACTGAGCTTAAGTATCCTAAAGTCTGCGTTGAAATGACCCTCTGTTTTTCCCATAAAATACAAAGATTATATAGGGAAATACAACTGGTCAGTTTTGACCCCTTTACGAAGTTTTCCCAGATATGCCGAGTTTTTTGTGACACCCCAAGGTGTTCTCCTACCACCTCACAAAATTTCAAGGGGGGTCGTCGGAGGAATTTTATTTTCGTAATAGAGCTCATATAAAGAGAATTTCACTCGCGGTCACTTTTTAGCCCTCGTCGAGGGCTTTGAGTGTAACCGACAGTTTTCCCTAAAGGTCAAGCCATTTACCTATAAGCATGCCAAAACTGAGCCAGATGTAAAGAGGGTAAGTGCCATAAAATCCGTTTTGAAATGACCCTTTGTTTTCCCCATAAAATACAAAGATTATATAGGGAAATACGACTGGTCAGTTTTGACCCATTTCCCGATTTTTCCCGGACATGGCGAGTTTTTTGTGACACCCCAAGGCGTTTTCCTACCACCTCACAAAATATCAAGGGGGGTCGTCGGAGGAATTTTTTTTTCGTAATAGAGCTCATATAAAGAGAATTTCACTCGCGGTCACTTTTTAGCAACCTTCGAGGGCTTTGAGTGTAACCGACAGTTTTCCCTAAAGGTCAAGCCATTGACCTAGGAGCATGCAAAAAATTAGCCAGATATACTGAGCTTAAGTATCCTAAAGTCTGCGTTGAAATGACCCTCTGTTTTTCCCATAAAATACAAAGATTATATAGGGAAATACAACTGGTCAGTTTTGACCCCTTTACGAAGTTTTCCCAGATATGCCGAGTTTTTTGTGACACCCCAAGGTGTTCTCCTACCACCTCACAAAATTTCAAGGGGGGTCGTCGGAGGAATTTTATTTTCGTAATAGAGCTCATATAAAGAGAATTTCACTCGCGGTTACTTTTTAGCCCTCGTCGAGGGCTTTGAGTGTAACCGACAGTTTTCCCTAAAGGTCAAGCCATTTACCTATAAGCATGCCAAAACTGAGCCAGATGTAAAGAGGGTAAGTGCCATAAAATCCGTTTTGAAATGACCCTTTGTTTTCCCCATAAAATACAAAGATTATATAGGGAAATACGACTGGTCAGTTTTGACCCATTTCCCGATTTTTCCCGGACATGGCGAGTTTTTTGTGACACCCCAAGGCGTTTTCCTACCACCTCACAAAATATCAAGGGGGGTCGTCGGAGGAATTTTTTTTTCGTAATAGAGCTCATATAAAGAGAATTTCACTCGCGGTCACTTTTTAGCAACCTTCGAGGGCTTTGAGTGTAACCGACAGTTTTCCCTAAAGGTCAAGCCATTGACCTAGGAGCATGCAAAAAATTAGCCAGATATACTGAGCTTAAGTATCCTAAAGTCTGCGTTGAAATGACCCTCTGTTTTTCCCATAAAATACAAAGATTATATAGGGAAATACAACTGGTCAGTTTTGACCCCTTTACGAAGTTTTCCCAGATATGCCGAGTTTTTTGTGACACCCCAAGGTGTTCTCCTACCACCTCACAAAATTTCAAGGGGGGTCGTCGGAGGAATTTTATTTTCGTAATAGAGCTCATATAAAGAGAATTTCACTCGCGGTTACTTTTTAGCCCTCGTCGAGGGCTTTGAGTGTAACCGACAGTTTTCCCTAAAGGTCAAGCCATTTACCTATAAGCATGCCAAAACTGAGCCAGATGTAAAGAGGGTAAGTGCCATAAAATCCGTTTTGAAATGACCCTTTGTTTTCCCCATAAAATACAAAGATTATATAGGGAAATACGACTGGTCAGTTTTGACCCATTTCCCGATTTTTCCCGGACATGGCGAGTTTTTTGTGACACCCCAAGGCGTTCTCCTACCACCTCACAAAATATCAAGGGGGGTCGTCGGAGGAATTTTTTTTTCGTAATAGAGCTCATATAAAGAGAATTTCA